CGATAAATAAACAAACATCCTCTTAAAGTACATAGAATATAAATGTTTCAATTTGTTATAATTTTTCATTAATATGTGATACAAAAGGCACCTTCTATTGATGTACTATATATTTCTCCTGTCAAATTCAATTATCGTCTTTAACATGTTGAAGAAGAAAGTTTTACATAGACGTAGTAGGTAAACGAGCAACAAGCTGTGTCGCAATCCCTTTTTGGATGTCAAAACTAATTCTTTTAAAAACAACATTTATAGATCTTGGGGTCTTAACATTACTATGCATGACCCATTGTACTCTATTGAATAACTCCACAGCTTTTGGCGCAAGGAAACCGAAAGTATCAAATGCAGAAAGTATAAAGGTGTGTTGATTTTCCATGCATGTTTTCTCATGTTTTGTCACTTTGCATGATGCAGCTTTTAAAGCAACTTGCCCCACTATGAAAACCCCACTCCCCAAGCCCACAAGAGGGGAAACCCCTATTAGATCCATGCATGCATGCTTCCCTCCAGCCCATCCAAATACTAAAACATCAGCTGGTCTAAGTGTTGATCTTTATTTCAATGGGTCAGTTAGAAAGTTCACAGATGCCTCTTTCTTGGCAGAAACCCCAACGCACCTAAATATGTCAAAAAGAACATCCCTAACCAGATCGTGTCGGTACTTGAAACACGGGAGCTCTTTACAGTGAACTGTGTGCTCCCCAAAGGAGTTCAAACATGCCTTGCGACAAACAGGGCAAGTCTCATCAGTCGGAAATAAAGGGATCATAAGGCGAAATAAAATTGATAAACTAATATATTTGTTTTGTTTCTTTTAAACGACGAATAAATATTATTAACAAACATAAACCCAACGGGAAGCTATTTTGATAAGGCCATCGGGTATGGTAACGGGTGAACATCCATCCACATCATCATCAAGACTTGTTCATAATGCATTCAATATAGGTTGGGGATGGTGTTCACTAGTGAACAAGAGAGAAAACAAAAGAGAGAGATAGAAGTGAATGGTTTTGATTGGATGTGAGAACCCGTAAGTAGCTTCAATCCACACCACCATTACACCTATTGGGGGTGGTGTTCACTAGTGAACATCTCCTCCACATAGGATTCCTACGCGTGAAATGAAGTCTATACCTCATGGCCTAAGAATATAACTCTATTATATAAGAATATCATTAAGACATTAACCCTAATTATTATTTTAAGGCGTTAACATCGGATTTGATGCACTTTATTTAGGGATCAGAAGAAAAATTAATTTGGTTCGAATATTCATGAATAAGTGACCCAAACTCCAAGTCCTAACTTCTAACTATAATCTTTAATTTGCCACGCTATTCAAGTCAACCATTGTTACATTAAGTAAGTTCGTTTCTAATTATTTTAAAAATTATTTAACTAAAAATTATAATATTATAATGCAACAAAAGCATGAAAATTGGTCTTTTGTGTACGAAGTCAAGGGAAAAAAAATAATCTACACGATATGTGCTAAAAATAAAGTGCCAGTACATACTATCAATCTATAAATGGAAAGGACAATATTTATGTATACTGTATATTATACTTTTTTTTAATATTATGATGTAACTTTGCTTAAAAGCAATGTCAAGATGGTTACAACCATAATACGAGAATAGTATTAGGAAGGTCATAAATTTGTCATGATGAAGGTGGTATCACGATTGGTGACTTATTAAAAAGTCTTTGCACCCTTTCTTTTTATTAAAAAATTCTATTTTGTTCTTGAATCTTGAACATAAACAATAGCATTGAGATAATTATAGTATATAAATTGAAAATGACACAAAGATAATAACAACTACTATATACTCAACGCATATTTCCTATGTATTTGATTTGCCATTTTGTTGAGTTTGTTTGTCATTCAAAAAAAGTTGATTTTTTTTTAATGATGTGTAGAACTACATAATTTTGGTAAAATATAACAAAAAATAAAATCGATAATAAAACATAAATGAAGTTGATGTTTTTTATTCATCAATAAATAAAGGAAAGAATAAAAAAATAGTGTTTACGTGGCGAAATTTAAGGAAAGAGAAAGACAAAAATACAAGATCCAGGGGGGGGGGGGGGGGGGGGGGGGGGGGGGGGGGGGGGGGGAAATGAATAAAAAATACACATGAATTACGAAACGGTTACATGAATCTCATGTTTTCCTCGATCCATATTCCACTTATTATTTTAATGAAATATTATTTTCATATTTTGTATTTTAGCATAACATAGATATAAAAAGAAACTGAATTCAAAAATATAAAGTCAAGAAAGAAAGAAAAGCATGTATGTATAAGGGCCTAAGGGGAAGAGAGCGTGGGGTTGTGCTTCTTTCTTCACTCTTCACACCAAACAAACCCCACTCAACACAACAATCATCAATCATCATTCATCATGAAACATCCTCTGCACTACACCCACCACTCCTAAAAAGCAACAATCCAAATCCCTTAAATTTACTACCTTTTCTTACTCGAATCCACCATTAACACTCTCTCAACAATCATGGACCACCGTCCTCCGCCGTATCTCCCTCTCATTTTCCTCCTATTCTTCCTAATCTCCGCCGCTGCTCTTCCTTCAGAGCTTCTTTCGCTTCTCGCTCTAAAATCATCTCTAAAAGATCCTCTCGATACACTCCATGACTGGGAGTGGGATCCATCTAAACCTGGAACTCAGTGCTCGTGGTCCGGTGTCAAATGTGACCCGAAAACAAACCGGATTAATTCGTTGGACATCTCTAACCGGAATCTCTCCGGGACGATTCCACCGGAGATCAGATACTTAACCAGCTTACGTTATTTAAATATCAGTGTGAACCAATTTGCCGGACCTCTCCCTGTCGCAATCTTCGAGTTGTCATCTCTTCAAACTCTTGACGTTAATCACAATCTTTTCAGTTCAGTGTTTCCGTCAGGAATTTCGAAATTGAAGCATCTTACATTCTTCGATGCTTACAGTAACAGCTTCACGGGGCCATTGCCGACGGAGTTTGTTCGGTTGAGGTTACTCGAACATCTTAATCTCGGTGGAAGCTACTTTGATGGTGAGATTCCTAAGAGTTATGGTGGGTTTGAAAGATTGAAGTTCTTACATCTCGCTGGAAACAGCCTCCGTGGTCAAATTCCAGCCGAGTTAGGAGTTTTAACGTCGCTCGAGCATTTAGAAATTGGATACAATGCGTTCTCCGGTGGAGTTCCAATGCAGTTTGGTTTGATGTCTAATTTGACATTACTTGACGTTTCTAGCGCCAGTCTTTCTGGTGAGTTTCCGATTGGTGTTACAAACTTGACGAAGCTGGAGACATTGTTAATTTTCAAAAATAATCTTCACGGCGAAATTCCGGCGGCTATCGGCAAATTGCAATCAGTCGAGATTCTAGATTTGTCGAATAATAACTTTTCAGGGAGCATACCGGAGGAAATTTCATTGCTGAGGAATCTTACGGAATTGAGTCTAATGAACAATAGACTTACCGGAAGCATTCCTGAAGGAGTAGGCGAGCTTCCGAAGCTCGAGTATCTGTTTCTGTGGAATAATTCTCTCACCGGAATTCTGCCACAAAAGTTAGGCTTAAATTCAAGGTTACAGAGACTCGACGTCTCTTCTAATTCTCTCTCCGGTCCAATTCCGCCGAATCTATGTCTCGGCAACAATCTATTGAAACTCATTCTCTTTTCAAACAAGTTTTCCGGCGAGCTTCCACCTTCTCTGGCGAATTGCACTTCGTTGTACAGGTTCCGCATCCAATATAACAGATTGAACGGACCAATTCCCATCGGATTTGGGAGTTTACCTAACATCTCTTTCATGGATATGAGCGAGAACAATTTCTCGGGACCATTTCCGGGGGATTTACTCAATGCAGCTAAACTAGAGTATCTAAATGTATCAGAAAATTCGTTCGACAGCACGTTGCCAGAAAATATCTGGAAAGCTCCAAGTTTACAGATATTTTCTGCAAGTTACAGTAAATTCAAAGGGGATATCCCACAATTTAAAGGCTGTGAAAACTTCTACAAGATCGAGATGGAAGGGAACGAATTGAGTGGTAGCATTCCTTGGGATATCGATCACTGTGTGAAGCTAATTTCTCTCAACCTACAACGTAATTCAATTTCGGGCATCATTCCATGGGAAATTTCGTCTCTTCCCTCCATAACCGAAGTTGATTTATCGCATAATCTTCTTACCGGTACTATTCCTTCTGTTTTCGGGAATTGCAGTACATTAGAAGGTTTCAACGTTTCCTATAACCAGCTAACCGGGCCGGTCCCTGCATCTGGAGTTGCATTTTCAAGCCTGCATCCTTCTTCATTCGCCGGAAACGAAGGACTTTGCGGCGGAGTCATTCGTAAACCCTGCCGGACAGAAACTGAACCGGAGACAAAACCACAACACCCCAAAAAAACCGCCGGAGCCACCCTGTGGATCGTCGCCGCAGCATTTGGCGTCGGTCTCTTCATCCTCGTCGCCGGAATCCGATGCTTCCGTGCAAACTACCAACAACGATCCGTGGTGGAGGAAACGGAAACAGGGCCGTGGAAACTAACCGCTTTTCAACGCTTGAATTTCACAGCTGATGACGTGGCAGAGAGCTTGTCGATGACAGGTAAAATCATAGGGACGGGATCCACAGGGACCGTGTACAAAACAGAGATGCCAGGTGGCGAAATCATAGCCGTTAAAAAGTTACGCGGAAAGCACAAGGAGACAATCAGATTAAGGAAAGGTGTGTTGGCTGAGGTGGAAGTGTTGGGTAACGTGAGGCATAGGAATATAGTGAGATTGTTGGGGTGTTGCAGCAACAGGGAATGTACCATGCTCCTCTATGAGTATATGCCTAATGGAAGTTTAGATGATCTACTTCATGGAAAAAACAAATGTGACAATTTGGTAGGGGATTGGTTCACAAGGTACAAAATCGCGTTGGGGGTGGCACAGGGGATCTGCTACCTCCATCATGACTGTGATCCGGTGGTTGTACACCGTGATCTGAAGCCATCCAATATTTTATTGGACGGCGATATGGAGGTAAGGGTGGCAGATTTTGGTGTGGCCAAGTTGATCCATTGTAACGAATCAATGTCTGTGATTGCAGGGTCCTACGGCTATATAGCCCCTGGTAATGTTTCTCTAACATTTTTCTTTAATTAAGTCTTGTAAGGATAAATTGTTGATGTTATTTGTTTCATTTATTTTGTGTAGAATATGCTTACACTTTACAAGTCGATGAGAAAAGTGACATATACAGTTTTGGGGTATTGTTAATGGAACTCATAAGCGGAAGGAGATCGGTTGAGTCTGAATTTGGGGAGGGTAATAGCATTGTGGATTGGGTGAGGTCAAAAATCAAGAGCAAAGAGGGTGTAAAGGAGGTGCTAGATAATAATGCAGGTGGTTCATGTAGTTCAGTAAGGGAGGAAATGATGTGCCTATTGAAGATAGCGTTGTTATGTACAAGTAGAAACCCGCCGGATAGACCTTCGATGAGAGATGTGGTGTCCATGTTGCAAGAAGCCAAACCCAAGAGGAAATCACCAGATGACGGTGGTAGAGTGGTGGTTAATGTTGGTGGTAAACCTCCGGTACAAAAGTCTAGTGGTTGAATGTTAATAAAATTTCTTCTTTCTTTGTTCTAAGGGGTGGGGATTGGTTTGGTATAGAAGTATTCTTTTTCTTTTTTGGGTGTCAATGAAAAATCCATGTGTTTTGAGTCTCTTAATTAAGGAAAGAATGAATCTATGGTATCTTAATGTTATTTTAGTTTCTTTTTGTTCGTACCTTTAAAAGATAAAATATGAAGGATAAAGCTCACCAAATATTTATGTTTCTAAAAAAATCAATCGTCATAAGTATGTAAGAAACTCGTTTCATGTCTCGATTTGATAGATTATTTGCTTTGGAGTTAAGTAAAGAGTATTTCGTTCATCAAATGTGGGGTGCAATGGGAGCGTGGAGTTGGCGTCAAGCCATAAGAGGTGGAGATGAACATGTGCAATTTAATGAGTTGAGGAGGATTTTTATGATGTAGTTCTTTCATGTGACAAAAAATGGTGGTGGGTGTTAGAAGGTTCGATTGACTTTGCAATTTTCAATACTAGAAAATAATTTGATCAAATGTTGCTTCCTAATGCGGTTAGACCTACTAGATGGAATCACTATATCCCTAGGAAGGTTAATATATGTATGTGGCGTGCCTTGTTGGATCGTCTTCCTACGAGATGGAATCTAAGTCATAACGGGGTTGAAGTGACTTCTTTATTGGGTCTTATTTAAAGTTTATGATCATGTTTTTGTTTCTTGTGAACTTGTTGTGAATATTTTGCGAAAGGTCTTTTGTTGACTTGATATGGTGCACTAAAATTGGCATGCAATTGCTGATATTGTTATTTGGTTGGACTCGATTTCAGGAGTTGCCAAGACAAGGAGTATGGTGGAGGCTATTCTTTTTGTGGTTGTGTGGAGGATTCGACAGTTTCGAATTGACCTGTTGTTTGGAGAGTCGGTACCTCACTGGGATGAGATTTTTTACAACGTTATTGATATTTCATTTAATTGGTTCGTTTTTAGAAACTTAAAATTTTCAGTTAGATGGGTTGATTGGCTTAATAATCATCCTCTACCTTTTTCTTTCTATTTTTTTTTTAGCTTTTTTTGCTAGTTTCTAATACAATTGAGTCGTTCTAAAAAAATAAAAAAAACTTTGTCAATGATTTTTTTGGAACGGTGGGCTAGGTATATGCATGAGAATTTTAAGTTTTAATATTGTTAAAGTATCAACATTATTACCTAAGTGTTAGTAACTCCTTGTTACCTAAGTGTCCTAGCCCCAACTTATAAAACTTTATCAATGTTGATACTTTAACAATATTAAAAAGCTTTATACGACTATTTTGTTGACAATTTTAAAAAGGTGATGATACAAGCAAGGGTAATGGCATTACAAATCACTATCTGTATAATGTACCCGTAGTTGCTTTCAGTTAGAACAAAACTCGCATGGTTAAAAAGTAAAACTTTTTTTCAGCCATCTGAGATCGTTTAGCGGTTGATATTGACGTTTTCTTATATAATTTAGTACTAGGTGTGAGACTCATGTATTACGTGGGTTAATTAAAAAAATATCAAAATATAAACATTAAATATTTTTTTAAATTAAAATAAGGAAGGAAAAAAAACATATTTATTGCAATTTAAGATAGTATTTATTACATTTAATACTTACTTATATAGCTATATGTATTATATGGTTTTTTAATTTTAAAATTTAAAAAATCTAAAAATTGACATTTGGATATTATTTATTTCAAAAATACCACAAAATGACAAGTGTCAAAACTTATGAGAGATTGACATGTGGCAAAATGGAACTTAATTTATTAGAGTAGATTTGTTTGCATTTCTTTTTTTAATTAGTTGGCAATAACTTTTGATTATGTTATATTTTCCTAATAAAATCCAAATTTTAGACTAGGACAATCCTATTATAAGTACTCAATTTTTTTTCTGGGATTTCATCTTTTGACGTTTCTTCATAACCCTAATTGGGATTCTCGTGTTATTCATCATTCTTGTTTAGATCTTTTGGAATTTTTCGATCCTACATCAAATTTATTATTTAGCTTTAGCGACTAGTTTCAGTTTTGAAATCACAAGGTTATCGGTTCGTCCATCATAAATTTACCATTTTTTGCTTAAACCTTAGAGAGTTAGAGTGGTATGTTATTCAAACAAAGAAAATATTAACCCTTGTGATATATTATTGCCTAGCTTAATCAATTGTTTGATATATTGTTTCCTAGCTTAATCAATTGTTTGATATATTGTTGCCTAGCATAATCAATATTAACCTTGGAGTGGACTGTTAGATAATCTTTGAAGCAAAGCCTTTTTTTTTTTCATAACCATAGTCTCTACTAGCCCATATCTATGTTTCCTCATAGTTCAAATATATGTTAAATGTAAGAAGCAATGTATTTTTTATTGATTTGTTTATCATAACATTTTAATTTAATTTTATTGGGACATAAAATTGCATCTAAATATGAAAATATTTAATTATAGTAATATAAAATGTAATCAATATTAACTATTATAATTAGGTATTTAAAAAAATAAAAAATAAAAAACTATATTGTAATTGGTTACTCTTTTTTAAATAGAATGTGTTAACAAAAAAAACAGATAATTATACAACGATGTAATTAAACAAAACATTAAAATAAGATGTTGTAATACACACATAAATAAAAATACACTCTTGCCTTTAGCCTTTTATATATTTTTATCAACGACTCTATAACAATAAACAGATAAACAAAGAAACAAAACGGACGGAAGTGTATCTATTCAAATGTTGGGTCCCATATTTTTAGGCCGTTGCCTTCAAAATCGAGAAAGTCATAGTCCGGAAACCGAAGTATCAGCAATTAATAGAATAGAAAACCTCAAACAATCCACCAACATTTTCTTCTTCAGGTGAGAACATATTGAAGATGAAGACGAAGTGATTCGCTCAATCAAATCTATCAAAAATCAGACGGAAATTTCTATAGATTTTGCAAAGAATGTGATGCAGAGAAGAAATTGATAGCTAGCCGTGGTACAAGGAAGAAGATATTCAGTTCCAATGTCGTCGTGCTCTGTGGAGAATCAAAACCCTAACAAGTCTTCACCCTTAAATTTCTCAAATCTCTGGTTGAAGAACGAAAAAGTGCTCGATCATGTCGTTTACGCTGCCTTACGTCGATTTTCCTTATCCAACAAACACCCTCCCTCTCTGCCACCACACCTAGACGATGTCACCGTTGCTTCTTCTCCTCCACAACCTCCCACGAACAGCAACAAAATCCTGGCTTTTGATTTCTCCCAAATTGTTGTATCTGATGATTTTACTCCTCTCCTTTCTGACGAAATCCTCCTCCACATCCTCTCGAAACATCCGGAAATATCACAAAGGAACTCAAATTGTTTAGTCTCAAAACGGTGGCTGAATCTCCAAGGTCGATTGGTAAGATCACTCAGGGTTTTGGATTGGGATTTCCTTATATCTGGTCGTATGTTCTTTAGATTCCCTAACCTTACACATATTGATTTACTTCATGGAACTGTGGTTTCCAATAGTAGTACCCCAAATTTAATTGGCCATGAATTGGGGTCTTTTCACATATCTCCTGATGATTTTTTTATGCGATGACCATTGTTTATTACCAGTTGATGAAGTTGATTTTGGTTTGAAAGTTTTGGCTAGTATGTACCCCAATCTGCGTAGACTTGTTGTTGTGAATTGTAGTGAAATTGGATTACTGAGTGTTGCAGAGGATTGTCTCACAATGCAAGAATTAGTCTTACATAGATGTAATGATCATCTATTGTGTGGAATAGCAGCATTTACAAATCTGCAAATATTGAAGCTGATTGGAGTTATTGATGGTTTCTATAAGTCTCTGGTTTCTGACCGAGGTTTGACCATTTTGGCACAAGGGTGTAAGAGATTAGTGAAGCTTGAGCTACGTGGATGTGAAGGGGGTTATGAGGGGATCAAAGCAATTGGTGAATGTTGTCAAATGCTTGAGGAGTTAACAATTTGTGATCATAGAATGGAAGAAGGATGGTTGTCAGCTCTTTCTTATTATGAAAATTTGAAATCTTTGAAGCTTGTTTCATGTAAAGGCATTGATCAAAATCCTGAACTGTATGAGCAATTAGGGTTTTGCCAGATGCTTGAAAGATTGCATTTGGAGAAGTGTCAGTTAAGAGATAAGCAAAGTGTTAGGGCTTTGTTTCTTTTATGTCAAGCTGTGGTGGAAGTTGTTTTCAAGAATTGTTGGGGATTGAATAATGCCATGTTTCTCAATGCAAATTTATGCAGGTATAATAATTTCTTTAAAAAAAAAATCTTGTTTACTTCCAACTCCATCTAATTTTTTATGGTTTGATTGCAGGAGGGTGAAGTCTATGTCTATAGAAGGATGTTCAAGGCTAACAACACAAGGTCTTGAGAATGTGGTTCTTTCATGGCAGGAGCTTGAAAGCCTTGAAGTAATATCATGTAAAAACATAAAAGATGATGAAGTGACTCCTAAGCTATCTGCTTTGTTTTCTCATCTTAAAGACTTCAAATGGTGCCCAGGTAACAACACGTCTTTTCTTCTGTCAACAAGATTCTCTCTTTCTGATATGGGAAAACGAGGGGGTAAGTTCTTCAAGAAGTTTCAAATTTAAGAGTTTGAAACTGGGAATTTAAGCTTTTGCTTATTTATTCTATAAATTCTTTAAAAGTTTCAAACTTGAACATTTGAGACTGTATGTAGATTTGGAGTTCTTTAAAATGAAGCAATATAAGCTTCTGATTTGGATGAACTCTCTAAAGAGTTACTTGGACAATATTATGTATCCATATTTATTTTGATAATCAATTATCATCTTCATTGATTTTTGTTATTGTTCCCCGTGGGTTATTGGTGTATATTGATAGATGTCTAGGCCTCTATGGCATACAAAAATGATATTATATTCAAAAGTAATCATACAGTTAGTATGATTAGCATTTCAAACGCTACAATATTAGTCATACTAATAGTATTTCAAAAGCTTTAGCATGTTGTTGTAAATAGGAAGAGACACCAAGGAATCAAGTTTTGTAAATGGATATAAAACAAGAGCAGTTTTTTGTCACCATAAGAAATAAGATGATTCTCTGTTTCTCACTTTTTCATAATTAACAAACATAACGAAACTAATGATGTTGACACGATTGTGATGCTATATCTCAAAAGCAGCACCTCATGTAGGGATGTCAACGGGGGCAAACGGGACGGGGAGTGCATCCCCCGCAATTTCACCGTTCCCCCATCCCCGCTCGCGCCCCCGAAATGTCCAGCATTCCTACCCCCATCCCGATTGGTTTTGGGCTGTCTTTTTTTGGGCTAAAAGAAGTTGTTTGGGCTAAAAGAAACTATTTTTTAGGTAACAAATAATTATTTATAGCAGAAGTTTACATGTTAAAAATAAAAAAGTTATGACATCTTAAAACATTATATTAACAACTTAAAAACTTGTTTTTTTGTTGAATTTTGGAAGCTCAAAGCCTCAAAATCATGTTATTGTTTATTATATTTATATAATTAATATATGTAAATATATGTATAATTTATTAATGGGGTCCCTATGGGGATTTCGGGACGGGATTGCCCATCCCGCCCCCCGAAATTAATTCGGGGGTTAACCTTGCCCCCACCCCCGTCCCCGCCCTCGATTTTTTTTAATAAATACCCTCAAACGGGACGGGGTCCCACGGGACTTTTTGACATCCCTAACCTCATGGCAAATTTATAGCACATCAGCGTAAATAGCAAAGGGGAGGGACCTTTAAATAGATATTATAACTAACTGAGTATCCTCTTGCCCTTTTGTTTCTATTTATCTTCTTATCATTAAATCAAGACAAATGTCAAACTCAAGAGGAGAGATTAAGAGAGAATTAGTGGAGTCCATATGTCATTATTTTATGAGTAGAAAAATAAATAGAAATAAATGGTAGGAGAATATTAAATTTCTTTTAACTAAAGATGACAAAAAAAGATTATAACCCAACACTATTAGGATTTGAAATATATATCCACCTCCCAAGTAGGTGTTAAAAAAACAACTTGACAATGAAACTTTTCGTAATAGTCTTCAACTGTAAGCTGGACTTTTGGAGGCATGTATTTCAACAATCTCCACCATGACTCCTAAAGTCGAAAAACATTTTTGGAGGCATGTATTTCAACAATCTCCACCATGACTCCTAAAGTTGAAAAACATTAACCGATCCTCATTAATTGATGAATACTCAAAAAATACAAAAGAAAATATTGTAACATAAATGACCTTTAAATAACAAATGCCCCCCCCCCCCCCCCCCCCCCCTCTTATAGCCTCTTGGCTTACTTGCATTTTTTAACACCATCAAGTTCAAAAGTGGCCATTGGAAGACTTTTAGTAAACATATGAGCTGAATTTTTATTTGTGTCGGTCTTGCTTACAACAAACACGCCTTTAGCAGTTTTTTTGTTTTTTTATTTTTATGAAATGATAGTGTACATCAATATGTTTTGTTTGGTCATGAAACTTTTGATCCTTGGTCAGAAAGATTATGCTTTGATTGTCGCAAAACATCATAGTGATTTTTAACATGTAATTAAGCTCTTCAATCAGCCCCTTCGACCAAATAGCTTCTGTTGGATAACACAACTATAGATTGTAATTTTGCTTTCAAAGACACATTTGGTTGTGAATTAAATGTGTCATATAAGCAGATATCTTCACATACCAATCAATAGTTCAATTCATACACTTTCATAATCCAGACAAGATTACCCAAAGTGAAAATGTACCTTGGAATATGGTACTTTTTCCATGCATGCTATATTCCTTTTAGTAATCGACTCAAAATATTCTCAATGTATCCTTTTGCAAAAAGAGGCACTCAATGTATCCTTCAACTCACTTAAAGTGAGCTGCAAAATGCGTGTTTACTTCTTTTGCATCATGCATATTAAAATGACGCAAAACATTCAAATGTATCCTTCTTGAGAAATATATTAAACTCTTGCATTCTTGTGTCACACACATTCCTAGAATCTTTTTTGCAGCACCCAAGTCCTTCATATCAAATTTGACATTTATGTGGTCTTTAATCTATTGAATATCCTTAATAAATTTGTGGCAATTAACATGCCATCCATATATAAAAGTACGTATATCATTGATTCGTTGTCACATTTCTTGTATTAAATGCAACTGTCATAAGTGCACCTTGTCAACTTATGATTGGTCATGAATGAATCAAATTTTTTCTACCATTGTCGAGGAAATTAATTGAGGCCATATAGAGAGTTCTTCAATTTGTACACATAGGTTTCCTTTCCATGAACTATAAATCCCCTAGGTTGTTGCATAAAGGTCTATTCCTCAAGTATACCATTTAAGAATGTTATAGTTCCATCTAGTTTCTAATCCATAATCATTAGAAGCAACCAATCCCAACCAAGACATGTATAGATGTGTGTTTGACAACCAGAGAGAAAATATCGGTGTAATCGATTAAAAAAAGTCTGACCAATCAGAGGAGGAAAGAGAATGCAGGGAGCCTTCCCCTTACCACCTTTCCCGTACCCTCAGTGTAGTGTTCCGAGGTGTGGGTTTGTTTCCCGCTATGCTCCTTCCAACCTTAGTGAATTTCCCCAAATACCCCATACTAAACATACATAATAGCACGAAGCTAAATCGGGTCTATTTCACCCCGGAGTCTATTTCAACTCCTTCGCTATCTTTCAACTGATACGGGTCTATTTCACCTGTAACGCCCGTAGATCCGGGCTAGTCAATTTAGAGATGATAATAATCAAAAATGACTTTTTGATGGAAGATTATTTAGAATGAATAATCTTAACTAAGTTGTAGTGGTTGTGGCAAGTTTCCGAAAATATAAAGAACGCCGAAATCCGAGTTATAACGAAGAAGTTATGACATGTCGAAGTTTCGCGACAGAACCGGCACGACACAGCGCGACCTAAATAGTGAATTTACGTTAGAGCGATATTTGGCCTTATCAATCTAAATGAAAGTCCTAGAATACGTTAAACCGCGAGCGTGCATAAAAAGAACGTCTAAATCTGATTTCGTATGAGGAAGTTATGATTTTTCGAAGTTTCGGCTTAGCAGTGTACAGCACGAAGTTCGAATATGAGATCGAGCGATATTTAGCCGAAACAATCTAAATGAGAATTGAAGATCTCATCGATAGTAGTGCAACGACGGAAAGACAGACGAAAACGGACGTCAGACGAAGGAGTTATGAGTTTATAACGGAGTTTTCCTGTCCCGGCCTACTAAAAATAATATAAAAATAATATAATAAAAATAAAGTCAAAATTAGCCGACGGAGTCTAAATGAAAGTTGTAGATCTTGTTCTTACCTACGCGTCGATATAAAGAACGTCGAAAACGGAGTTCGTATGCAAAAGTTATGAATTTCTGAAGTTAGGGGCGCGAAACTCCAAAACTGTCAGAGACCACGACGTGGAAACAGTGCCCACGATGTGGCATGGCTTCTGACGCCTTCTGGAGCCTGACAGAGCAAGTTGATGATGACGCATGCAATGACGACCAAGCCCACGACGTGGAAGAAGTGCCCACGACGTGGAAAATGAGAAAACAGCCCTATAAATAGATTTGAAGGGGCAGCCGTTTGTGGTTGCCAAATATCTTCTTTCTCACCTATATTACCTCGATTTACATGCAAAGAAGTACCCTCGAAGCCCCGGTATCAACCCCGAGACCCGAAGCAAGTCCCTAAGCCCGAAGATCCCGAGAAAAAAAGAGTTTCCAAGCCGAAGCTATGCCCGCGAGAAGCCTGGTGTGCGAAGTGATCCCGGTTTCACCGAAGAATACTACTCTTAGAGCTGTAGTGCTGTCCGAGCATCGTCTAACCAAGTGAGTGTGTAGTTACTTTCTTCTAATACATAGATATGAAGTGTTTGCTATGAAATACGTGCTATGTGTTTATACATTGTTTGTTTACTTGAGATGGATGCTGAATGAATGTTTTATACGAGTTTTTAAATAATTTTAAACTGTATACGTAATTTATATCTACAAATATGTTGGGTAGAACATGGGTAGATGAAATAGTTGGTGTGTGATGAAATAATGTGATGAGAGATAGGTGAGGATATAATGGTGATGATAATTAGGTGATGATAGATAGGTGATGAATTACGAGTCCAGGCGATGTTGTGGCTGCGTATTCATGCGATGATAGTCTAACCCTTATTATGAATTACGAGTCCAGGAGATGTTGTGGCTGCGTATTCATGCGATGATAGTCTAACCCTTATTATGATTTACGAGTCCAGGTGATGTTGTGGCTGCATAATCATGCGATGATACCCTAACCCTTACTAGACACATATTGAGGGAGTGATCCCCGAATTAGTATTGTCTATGCGATGTAGGCGATGATCCTTAGGAAAAGTTTTTAGGAACAAACATATAAGGAAATAAGATGTAAGGAGATGAGAAGTAAATATGATATAGGAGATGACCCTTAGGATAATATCTTTAGGGAAGATTAAATGAAGATAATGGGGATGGGTAATTGGGTTGATTGTTTGATGATTAAATATAATAATTATATTATTATGGGTTGAAAACCCTATACGCTCACCAGGCTCCCAAGCCTGGCCCACTCAGTTTTCTTTGCATTACAGGTAATGGCACAAGAGTATAAGTTGGTGGACTTGACGAGAGATTTTGGATTATAGATCAGTAGTTATAAATAACTGTTGT